CCTATTGAGCACTGAGTGGGTGGTGAGTGGCAGTCAGGGCTCAGGGCTAACTGTGCACGTGGGAATTGGCCGGGTGCCCCACCAGAGCCCTGGGGAGAGACCCTGCGCCCCTGCCGCCCCCTGGAGACCTTGGCAGTGAGGCCGAAGCAGCCGCGTGGCTCCACGATCTTCTCCAGCACGTGGCACTTGACACCTGCTGTGCTCACATACTCGTAGACCACGCCGTGCTCCAGGTGCACGTTGTCCACCGTCAGGCTGACCGTGGGGCTGTCCTCGTGGAGGGCCAGCTGGGAGACCAGGTCCTGCAGTGGGAAGGCTGAACGCCAAGGAGATGGGTGGCAATGAGGAGGGTGCCCCCACAGGGCCCAGACCTCTGACATCGGCTGCATCTGGCACCTCGGTGTGCCAGTGGGGAGACCCTGCATTGAGGCTGTTTGTTCTGAGAGCAACACCCCGAATTCCCTCTTGGGAAGCAAGCCCCGTGTCCATGTGGTTTAGGAAAGGTTGACCCCACCCCACCCCCACTGCCCAGAGCTGGACAGGACACTCGGGCCTGGCCCATGTACAGATCCTGAGTCTCTCCCTCTCTCACTGTGACTGGCTCTGAAACAAACGTGGTGTGACCCTCTGGGCCAGTGAGACTCAAGTCTGGGACTCCTGTTCAAGCTACAAAGGGACAGCGTCCACTTCAGTTGGCTGCCACACTGCCAGAGCGCCACATGGGGAAGCCCCCAGGTAAGGAGAAGACTGAAGGAGGGGGGGAACCCCAAGACAGGGGAGAAGCCCCTGGGCACAGGGGAGGAGCCTGAATCAGGGGGTAGGGAGAGGGTGAGAAGCAGGAAAAGAAAGGACAGTCCACAGGACGTTGTGCGAGGCACAGGGTGGGGCCAGTCATTCCCACTGGCTTCACCCCTCTTGCTCAGGCTTCCATTTGCCCAGCAATAAACTCCCTTTGGTGGATATTAATGAAGGCAGGTCAAGCGGCTTCTCAGAGGCCACCCAGCCCAGCCGTGGCACATGTAGGGGACAGCAGGGCCACTTCTTCAGTATGAGGTGCTTCCCTTCACACCTGCCCCTCCGCCTGCCCCATGTCTACTTCGCCACCTGTCCATGGTCTCCGTCTATCTATTTCTGCCCTCTGCCTACTTCACTGCCCGGCCAGCTTTTGGCCTTTGATCTGTGACCTGCGCCCCCTTGTGTCAGCTCCCTGCCTTCTCAGCTCCTAGAATGGGACCTGGCACTTAGTAGGGTGCAGCT